AGGAATTTGCGCAACATCTGTTGGATAAAGTCGCTTGGATTCATTCCCAGTTGGATGCTGGCTTTGGTACAGGTTCAGAGGAGAACTGAGGAGGAGTCTTGCCCAGTTATCTGGGAACGGTTTGATCCTGTTGGGCCTGAGGAAGTGGACAGGGTCCTCAGGTCTATGAGCTCAGCCACCTGCTCTTTAAACCCATGCCCCTCCTGGCTGGTTAAAGTGGCCTGCAGGGGGCGGTGTCATGTGAGTGGATTCAAACAGTGGTTAATTCTTTAAGTGAGAGGGTTCTTCCTCTACCTCTTAAAGAGGCCTTGGTCTGCCCCCTGCTGAAGAAGCCATCACTCGACCCAACCATACTGGTCAATATTTGTCCAGTATCTCACATCTGTTTCTTGGGAAGTTGATGGAGAAGGTGGTTGCGCAACAACTTTGGAGGGCCTTGGAAGAAGCAGGTTATCTGGCTCCTTTTCAGTCAGGATTCAGACCCGAGTATGGGATGGAAACAGCATTGGTTGTGCTTTTGGATGATCTCTGGCATCAGTGGGATGGAGGTTGTGCTTTCATTCTTGACCTCTCGGCTGCTTTCGATACCATTGACCATGGTATCCTTCTGGATCGGTTTAGAGGCTTAAGGGTAGGCAGCACAGTATTGTGCTGGTTCACCTCCTTCAGGGCCAAATCCAGTTGGTGTTGATTGGGGAGGAGAGGTCCCACCCTCAGCCCCTACTATGTGGGGTACCACAGGGTTTGGTCCTTTCTCCTCTCCTTTTTAACATCTACATGAGGCTGATGGGTGAGCTCATCCGTCACCAGTATGATGATACCCAATTATATCTACCTCTGGCAAATTAAGAGATGCCATCTTATCCTGGTGCCTGGAGGCTGTGGGGGTCTGGATAGGAATCAACAGGCTTCAGCTGAACCCTGGTGAGACTGAGTGGCTCTGGGTTTTGGGCCCCACTGGTTCTAGGGCTATGCCATCTTTGGTGCTCGATGAGGTGGTACTACCCCAGACAGCCCCAGTGTGCAATCTGGGGGTCCTCCTAGACTCACACTCCTGCTCAAGGAGCAAGTGGCAGTCGTGGCTAGGAGGGCCTTTGCGCAGCTTCCTCTTGTGCACCAGTTGCACCCATTCCTGGACTAGCAGACCCTGCTTACAATCACTCATACCCTAGTCACCTCCAGATTGGACTACTGTAATGTGCTGCACATGGGGCTGCCCTTCAAGAGTATCTGGAAGCTTCAGCTGGCACAGAATGCAGTGGCGCAGGCAGTTATGTACACTCCTAGAACAGTGCATGTTACACCTATGCATTGGTTGCCAGTTTGCTTCCAGGTCCAATTCAGAGTGCTGGTTTTAATCTTTACAGCCCTTCATGGCATGGGACTGGGTTATCTGAGGGACAGCACCTCCCCGATTACATCAGCCCACCTCATCAAATCTCGCAGAGAAGGCATGTTGAGGGTAACATCAGCTAGGCACATACATTTGGTGGGTCCCAGGGGTCAGGCCTTCTATGCTGTGGCGCCCGCCTTGTGGAACATCCCCCCCCCCCAATATTAGATTAGCTCCATTCCTTTTGACATTCCAGAAGTCTCTCAAGACCTGGTTATGTCACGAGGCGTGGAGCTCCCAGGGAACTGGAGGCATCCTTTAGATAGCTCCATTGCTGAGTTAGCTATTCTTATTCTCCCTTGTCTAGGGTTTGTATATTTGTTTTTTATCGTATTTATCTTTAATATTGATTTTTATGTTTTTATACTGATTCTTTATGTATGTCTTGTTTTTATTGGATTGTTGTAAGCCACCCAGAGTCACTTTTCTGTGAGATGTGTGGCTATACAAATTTGATTAATAAATAAATAAATAAAAATAATTCTTGAAGTTTTTATTCATTGAGTAACATTAGAACAAGTTTGTTTGGAACAATAAAAAAATATGTAGTTATAGCATTCTGAGATCCTACTTACTTTTCTGCACATGGGGCAAGAGAACTGCCCATTGACATGTCTACAATTCTGGAGGATGAGAATCTTTTCCAGGCATTTTTTGCAGAAATTATGGGCACAAGAGAGGACCAGCACTGGGGGAGTGAACAGTTCTAGGCATACTGGACATGACAGCACCTGTGCCAAAGCCTCCATAACATTGCTACACTCACACAGATAGACCAACTCTAATGCTCTTTTCTAGCTACATTTACAGTTAAATTCTAGAATGTCACTCCATGACTCATTTGTCACAGTAACTCCATAGCAACATAAGCCAACAGTAACACCTCAGTTTTTGCAGAAGTGAGATCTAATGAATTCTGAATTTAAAGTATCCAATTTTATATCACGGAAATGTAAATTAAATATGTATATTAAATATATTATATAATAACAGTTACATAACTGAGGTTTGACAATGACTTGGAGCCAGACTTTTCATCAGTGAACAGAGCCATTGAAATCAATGGGACTTACATTAGTCATCACTAATGTAAACTCCATTGTTCCATTGTAAGGATTGCTAATTCTGGAGGTTTTAACCCATTGTTCTGCCTTACTGTAGGATTTGTAATTTCCTGTTAGAGAGAGCAAATAGTAAGCAGTTCAACTGAGCAGTGGATTAATTAGCACAGCTAATGACATCCTCAATCAGCTGTTTGTCTGAGAAGGCTCCAGGTGAGAGCCTAAATTAAGAGTTATATAAAAACAACTATTGGTTGTCAAATATATATGTCAAAAACAATGCAGTATATCTCTGGCATATGTCCTGAAGTACAAATATAGAAGGAAATAATTTGGCCATTTCTCACATATATTTTTCATTTCAGAGAATAAATGGATAGTATCCAGTGGTAGTTTTGTAACAGGGAAAAGGAATTTTCTTCATTAGCAGAGGTGAATGTTTTTTGCACTGTTACACATCCAATTTTCGCTGTCTCCTAAATGGCATTTCTGAGGTTTCTGGAATTTTCTTGAAAAGGTGCTTTAGAACATAAAAATAGCACCTATCTGCAACATTTTAAAGCGGCTTTTTTTTTCCAGGACGATGGAAAGTTTATGCCTTTTAATAAAATGTGTTAGTTGGAAAAGACGTTTTGCCACCATAGTCTAGTGTGGCTCTCCTCTTCCTAAGTTTCCAGGACTATGTGGCAATCATCCCCAGGAATGTTTAAGGTGTTGCAGACAGATGGAGAAAATTGGAAGCTTTTCCTTATATAAGAGCAAAACTACCACCAAATTCAGCCCACTTCAATGCAGGAGGTTAGAACAGTGCAGAACCTGCTGCCTCCAAATATTGCTACCTCCAGATACAGCAACTACAATTGCCAGCAATTCCAGCCAGCATGATCAGTGTTGACGGATGCTGGCTTATTTTCAGCATAATAAGCAGGGCAAGTGCCCTTCCCTTTACAAAATCTGCATACCACATCCATTGTTTAAAGTGGTTTTGTTTATCACACATTTACAGATGAGGTCTAAAATGATTCCTGATATGACAATTGCACATCAAAGGAACTATGTTACTTGTATCAGAAAAACTATTTTCTTTAACTGCAGATTTATACAGATTTCACTGAGTGGTTACAGTAAGTACTCGGAGTATTATATAATTTCTGGTTATCCTTCTGAAAAGGGATTTTGTAGTTGGAAAAAGTACAAAAACGAGCAATCAAATTGATTAGGCAATAAGTGTACCTGTCATACAAGGAAGGACTGCAATGTCTGAGACTTTGTAGTTTGGAACAAAAGAGACATGATTTAGAATCATGCATGAAATGAAAAATGTAAATAAGGAGTTTTTTTCCCCCCTGCCTCATAAATTAAAACTCAAGTATCCATTAAACTAAATGTGAGATTAAGGACTGATTAAAGGAAGTACTTCGTATAACATATCATTAAAATGGAATTTGCTGCCATTAAATGTGGAGATGGCCACCAATTTGAATGGTTTTTGAAGGGGACTACACAAATGGATGGAGTATTGGGCTATCAATAACTACTCGGTTTGATGGCTCTTTACACAATCATGAGTGACATACCTTAAATACAGTTACTAGATTTATAGTGAAGGGCTATTGCTTTCCTCTCCTGTTTGGGAGTATCCAGAAGACACCTAGTTGCCCTTCATATAGCACAGAATGCTTAAGTAGATGGACAGTCAGTCTGATCCAGCAAAGCTCTTATGTATCTGATGAAATCTAGCTCGCAGTACTACTAGTACTACATCTAGTACTACTACAATAGGTGTGAATATGGCTACTATGGGTCTGATAGAGCCTGCAACATCACTGATTATCAAGAAGTGTTTTTTATCCCACATACACTATTAAAATCCAGTCAGATTTTTAAAAAAATAGTCAGTGCACTGAGATTCCACTTCCAGAAATGCAGTTATGTATCAGGGATAATAAGGTGAAGGGATGGAAGAGACCAATTCTTATGAGAACAAAAGCAAAACTTGTGGGAAAGGCAGAGAAAAATGAAACCTTATCTTCTAGTTCTTCTAGAGGGACATCTACAAAGGAAGATTCCCATCAGATCTTATTGTCAAGGATCCTGCTATCAGTACTACTTCTGGGAGGATATTTTATATTACAGTAGTGCTGTACAAATACTGGGCAAGCAAGAGTTTGCCAGGAAGCAAATGATCTTCTACTTTTCATAAACCAGATCTCATAGTCAAATTAAATCCCCTTCTGGTATCTTTTGTACTGATCCTATATAAGTAACAAAGTAACACTTTGTTATTTTTGGGATGAATTTAAAGAGTTTTCTGGGTTAAGATAAAACTAGAATAGATAAAACAAGAATGACAGTAATCATGAGGACAACTAAAACATGGATTTTTTTTTCCTGCCTCAACAAATAACTACATTATATAATCTCTTGGAATATTACTGTCCTAATGAGGTAAGAAACCCTGATTTATCAACAACAACCAGGAACATTTTTCATTGTAAATATTTCTTTTATTCATTTTTTAAAATACTTTTTGAGCTACTAGAACACAAGCCTCACTTTTAACATTTGCAGTATTTTATTTAAAAAAAATAGAAAGTTTTGACTTTCTCATAACCATTTACTGGCTGGCAGCTGTCCAACTTCATACTTTAAGTCATGTTTATATTTTCTTGCTACAAATTTATTTTGGCATTGCAATCAATTCTTTTATGGCTATCAAGGTAAAGCCATACAGTTGTACAACAGTCATTTATATCAGTCAATGTTTACTAATCACAAAGTAAAACGTAATACTATTAATGTAAACAACATTGATGCTTAAGAGTTTTACTACACAGATATTTAACTGAATAAACCGTAGCACATTATGGCAGTGAATTATAGCAACAGTTCAATGTGAAAAACAGCAGGCTGAATCTAGCTTTTATTCTGCCAATGGGAACAGAGCCTGACATGGTGCTGCTCAGATCATTCCTGCTGGAGAAAAAAGTGGTGAAGGAAAGGCAATTTTTGTGGATTCCCCTCCAACAATAACTCCAACACCATCACCTCCATTCTTCTGAGGCACCCCTAACCTTCCTGAACAGATTCTTGGTGACACATGGGAGAGGAGGAATCAGTAAAGATCACATTATCCACTATGGGACAAAGGGATTTTTCTCCTTGATCCAACCAATAACTTATCATTGAAAAACTGTATTGCATTTTTATGCAATATTCAAAACCAAAACGCCACATTACAATCACAAAAATGGCAAGTTATTAAATAACAATTTATATACATATATAGGAAAACCACCTTCAGATATTTAATAAACAACTTTAACAGAAATTTAGTTAATGCAAAACAAGGGATACAAAAGAAAAGTAATTTTTCAGCACTACAAAAAACTGTAGCTTAGAAATGTAAACTTCATAAAAGCTTTTCAGTTTCTTCACTGGCATATTGTCTTTGGTGTTCCAGTATCTGTTTGAAAACATTCTTTAAAATGCTGTAAACATCTGATCCACCTTCAGAATCACAATTCATCTGCTGAAAACAAACTTAAAGTTACCTTACCAAATATAAGCAACATCAGGTTTTATCCCAGTAGAGTAATATAAAATATAAAGGACTCAATGCCAAATACATTTATCTGGTACTAAAATACTCAGATAATATAGTTTTACCTATAATGTTTCAAATATACTATTTACAATGGCTATAAGATGTAGACTAATAAATAGAATAATGAGAGCTATATGTGAAATATTGTTTATGAAGTAGTTATTCAAAGTTCTGGTAAACTACCTTTTTCTTTCAGCTATTCCATACTTTATCAAAGCAAATGTTAATAAGACATACATTGTACTTCATATTTTTTTCTTACAACTAGGCAGAAGCAATTGGTTTTGTACACAAGGGAAAATGGGTAAGTGGTACAACTTTCTATATTTTGTATAAATCTACCCTGACTCTTGTCACATGTGAAGAAAGAATAACGAAGAAATCTGTGTTATATCAACATAAACAGTAATACTGACTGAAGGATACAGAGTCATATGAATTTCCTTTCAATGCTATTGTTTCTTTAGATTCCCTGTGCGGAAAGGCAACATGAATGTGCCAGAGTGAGATAATACGAATACTTTCAACTCACTTTCAACTTTGGACTCCATACAAACAACTTACAGCCATTGTCAATCATTTTCCCCAGTGCTCTGTACACTTATTAGAAAGGATTTAAGATATTAAGACAATGGCCTGCAGTATGGAAGACTCTAAAATCATACCTCTTTTTCTTCTTAGCATAAACCTGTCCTCAGACTGAAAATGATCCAAGATCCAATAACTTTACTACCCAAAGCATTACATAAATTGTTGAAATTAATAAGCTATAAGGCAAACTCCATATGAAGGTGCATATTAATTATTCTACAGTCTTAAACAGATGAGGATCTACTTGTAAATTGGTCTCAGTACAGAAAGGATACAGTTCAAGTTCCTGGCAAGAAATATCTGTCTGAATACTTTATTATCAGGATTATGATTAGTACTGTAGACTGATCAGCAGCTGTTGATGTATTTATAACAAGAAGCCACAGTCATCTGCTACTTGCCTTGGTGAATGCTTTAATGGCACGATTAAGAAGCAGCTCTTCCACATCTGTTGGTATTCTTTGCAAATTCACCATGCAGTTTAAGATACACAGTATGGTGAGATATTTTCCCTGGGGAAGCACAAAACAGGTTATTAGATATTATTAGAGAGTCACCCTGAAGGCAACAGGATGCAATTCAATACCAAGTTAAGCAAGACATAAGTCCTCTGGAGTTGACCCTTTGGATGCCAACTGTACTCTACAGCTATCAGTGGATGAAAAGATGCAGGATAGGGACTCCTGTCTCAGGTTCTATAGCTCTAAGCACCATTTGAAACTGTGTGGAAGAGGGTCCCCAAACAGAGGAGGGGGTCTTAAGAGAAGGAATCACAGCATCACCTTTTCCACCTGATCTTGATTCATTACTTGAATGGAAGGAGCCTTTCCATTCACAAAAGGTTAATAACTTTGGATCATATAATTCTATTCATTTAAGCATACCTGATACTGAACTGTAACTAACAGGAAATGTATTTACTTAATATTTGTTTAAAATGTATGTATCTCCTTTCCACAAATGTCATCAAGATAGTATGCAATGATTTTTAAAATAACTTAAACTTAGTAAAATAATTTAAAAATATGTAAGGAACACTGCATAACATTTATAATCTATTACTAGCCACTTAAAAGGACATTTAAAGATATGCTTTTTAACTCCCTTGCTGAAGGAAGAGAATGCAACCATTTGGGAACATACAAGAGGAGGCACTCTCTTACATGTTACTGTTAATACGAGTCTTCTCCAAAGAACTGCTGTTGAAAATCTTTGTGAGGTGGACAGTCACTCAATGTCTGAAAATATATCTTATCATAGAAAAACTCCACAATGAGCAAAAAGTAACATTTCTCCTAAAACTACTCCAGTAGTCAGCTAATAAAATAGACACCTAATAAATAGTCACCTAATAAAATAGACAGGAATTGCTTCCTTCTTCTAGCACCTACCTACTGGACAATTTTGGCTAACAGTACGAAGAAAATGACATACAATATAGTGTGCACTAATAAGTTCTCCTAACCTGTCTCATACACGTAGTCCTCATTTAGCAACCACAATTGGGACCAGCAATCCAGTCATTAAATCTCTAAGTGAAACCTCCATTATACTTACAATCTTATTTCAGCTTTCCTTTGCTTTACAGAGCTGTGTAAGTCATAAATGCGAGGACTGGTTGTAAAGTTAATTTTTCATCACCATCGTAACGGTGAAGTTGCTAAATGAGGCAGTCGCTAAATGAGGACTACCTGTATATCTATCTATCTATCTATCTATCTATCTATCTATCTATCTATCTATCTATCTATCTATCTATCTATCTATCTATCATGGCAAGAGAGTGCAATTGGCCCAAGATCACCCAGCTTCACTGCCCCTCTCCATCCTCTGATTTGCCTTCAAAGCAGACTTGACTCCTGGCAACTACATGGACAAATCTATGAAGTTTTCTAGGCAACATTTTTGTAAGTGGTTTGTCATGCCTCCTTCCTAGACCTGATAGAGGAAGACAGGCCCAAAGTCACATTTCTGGCTTTAGTGCATAAACCAGGACTGTAACTTAGGTTTCCCCATTCCTACTCCACTCATTTTTTTACACACTGTATACAAGCAGGGTAAAATATCAGAGCAGCTGCATCTTAACCACTAGACCAAACTAACTCTCAATCTGTAACTATATATTACTAAAAGAGAAAAAGGAATACTATCAGCAAAAGACCAGAGAGAAAGGAATAGATATAAAAACTCATGCACCATTCATACAAAATTAAGAACAGGTCTATCTTCATTTTTCTGCAAAAAAATGCCTGGAAAGAAATGCCAAAACTACCTTTGAAGAAAGATAAAGATGATAAAGAATGAAATAATTAACTAGGGGTTGTCACTAATATAACAAGAAAGATATATAGTAACCTAGAAGCAAATACAAGTTACCTAAGACAGAAGACTTTATTGTAAATAAGTAAATATTGTAAAAATATAGTAAGCAGAATAAATTGCCTCCCATTCATTCTGCAACAGGACTTTCAACTGCTATATTTCAATTCCTCTGGTTTTAAATGTTGACTAATACAAGTATATATATTGTACTTTTATCCAATGCAACTCATTTCTCCCCCTAGAGATCTCCCCCTAGGTTGATAAACATATACAATATATGAGTACACATAAACATATGAATAAACCACTCATTTTTTTACACACTGTATACAAGCAGGGTAAAATATCAGAGCAGCTTCATCTGGGGAGGCAAAGGGAGTCAGGCTGACAAAAACAGCATCGTAACATCATGATGCAAACTTGCCACTGTTCTACATGAGTCACAACATATGTGCAAAAAGGGGCAGAGCTTGCAGGGAAACGGCATGTGATAGGATGGCCCAACTGCTTTCATCATTCTCATGAAAGCAGCTAGAACCCGTAGCTGCTGCTGACAAAAAGATGTGAACAGATACGCATATTATTTACCTTTTCTAGCAGTTTGAATGCTTCTTGAAAGTCTATATTATTTTTTGCTAACACATCAACATCATTTTTGGTTAGAAGAGGTTCTTTAAGTTGCTCTATCCAGGACCACATCAAATTACTGAGAATAAAGGGATCCCTCTCAGTACACATTTTATCCCAGGCTCCATTTTGAGTATTCAGTTCTTTCTGACAAAAGAAAAAGATTTAAATAAATTTTCTATTAACTGCATTTACATTAGTAATCTTAAGACAGGACTGTGGTTTTTCTTGGCAAAAATAGCCACCAAAAGCATTTCCTTCTATAACATCATAATCATGTGGAAGAAGATAGTTGGGTAATGTTTACTGGTCTTCCACCTGCCCAATCTCTGTCACTATTCAGACATTTATATGCCTGAGGAAAGGTATACCTGCTCTATGCATAATCGTTCTCCATGTTTGTTCTAATCTTTAGATCCCCACGTTACAGGCTCTTCAGATAACCTCTAGCGTACTGACAGTGGCAGGGGGCTTACTCTTCCTTCAGGTGAGTATGACGATAAGTCAACACCTGAAGTGTGGTTTATGTACTCCCAATCTGTGTGTGCCAAGAAAATGAGACTGTAGAAAGAGGCAGTTTTTGTTTTCTGCTGAAGAATCAATGAGCATGGAATCCTTAACCCTTTCTTAATCTAGAGCAAATGTCTTACTATTATGTAGCAAATGCTTCCTTGTAAAGTAAATTTCTCCAAGCAAAAGACAGTTTCTGTTGTTTGGTCTATTTAGATAGTAAAAATTCCAGTGGGAGTCCTTCAAGATATATACTGCTAGTGTCCCTCCCTAACTTTGGAAAAGCCAAGGGCATTAAAGCCACAATTTCTACCAAAGAATGCTCCCTGCAAAATTGTACATGCTGTAATGCCAACTGCATATCCTAATCTCTCCATTCCCCAGACATTTGCAGAGAAGGGCAGTTCACAACCTTCCTCCAGCTCTTTCCCATATAAATACATTGTGCCCACACTGGCATTTGAGGAAAAACTGTTTGCATCGTAAAGTGCAGTTTTACCTTTAATCTGCATTGCATTCATTAAAAACTTGGGGGAGGGAGAGTGTAGAATATTTGGTTCTTCCATATCCATTTTAGTTTTAGGCTGCACTCCCTAGTTCCTATTCAAAAGGAAAAGACACACACACAACATGGGTGGCTGTTTATTATCACTGAAGCTTAGGAAATAGATCTCAACGGCTCTTAACCAGGCATATTCTCCCCATGTTTACCTAATGTATGACACTGGTAGATAAAAATATTACAAAATGAAACCACCTGCCACATTTCTACTTTATACTTCACTTCTTCGGCTCCCATAAATTCATTCAGACCCGCCAGGGCTTTGGCTGCCAAAATTCTTCGTGCTTCTAGATTTAGTTCTGATTGCACAACAATATGGGGGATTGTTTCCGAGAGATCTCTGGTATCACAAATCTCATTTACTGCTTTAGAAGAGCCTGAATCTTCAGATGATACTCTTTTACCATAAATATTTTTTTTCATAGGATTATAGTTCAGTGCTTTTAGCTCCTCCTCCTCTTCTTCTTCCTCCTCCTCCTCCTTTTTTTCTTTCCAATCATATGCAAGGCCTGAAGAAAATGTTTTACTACGCAGTACTCTTTTTGGATGTCTAGGTCTATGGCAAACAGAAGAATCATCTTCTTTTCTTTCTAGATTAAATTTTCCCTGAGTTGAGAAAGTAAATGTATTACGAATTAAGACTTCTTGGTTTAGCTCAATGTGAAGAGGCTGACAATTGTCCACCTTGTTTGGCGGGTTGGATTTGTTGCAGAGTGGCACTTGTGCGGGCACTGACCATAGCGTTTCTCCCTGCTCGGCAATAAATGCAGCTTTTCTTAAATCTGAGTCACTATAGCAAAGGCGCCTTTTTGAATGGCTAAGAGGCAGAAAGTAATCAGTGTTCCTCGTTTTGCAAAGAGGATCAAATTCATGTTCCCTGGGATGAAGAGGATTTGATCCTGAGAGAGAGAATGGCTCTGAAGTACTACTGTCTTGCCTTGTTAACTCCTTGTCAAGTTCTGTAGAAGCTAACTGGGAAACTGTCTCCTCAATTTCAGCTGACAGGTCTGGCATATCTATTACTTCTTCCTCTATCACCTGCCGGTTTTCAACCAAATCCAAGAGCAATTTGCAAACAAGATGAATAAGTTTTGGCACATGCTTGAGATGTCTGCTTTCATATCCATGAAGCAAATGCCGCTGCCTGATCAAGTATTGGGAAAGAGTCACTGCGTGTGCTTTGGGCTCACAGGTTGCAAAAACATTTCTTAGTGGAATTAGGAACTGTGAAAACTCCCTTACACATAGCAACTGTCCTCTAGTCTGAATAGAATTAGGCCTTTTTGCTCTGACAAAAAGGATTGCTTGGTCTGCAGTCATTCTTGTTGCAAAAACCAAGTAACAAGCTATTAAGACACCTGGAAAGTAAAATATAAAAATAGATAAATCTCCAAGTTTAGGTAAAGGCTAAATAAAACAATGATAATCTCAGAAAACAACACACGGATGCCCTTTATATCACAGCAGACTATTATCTATCAGTATATAAATTCCCATCAATTGTAAGAATTAGATTAGACATTTCTCTCTCTCTCTCTCCCCACACACACACACACACACACACAAATACTACTTAAAGTATTTTAAAAAATTAAACATGAACATTATATACTGAAATGTAGACATTAAACAAACTGATTTTATGAACAAATTGCATACAAAATTAAAGCTTACAGATGGGGAAAGCATTTTGAAGCAGAGAGTTTTACTTGCTGAGGAAATAAAGTCAAAGAAGGCTATGGTTAAGCTTTCCTAGAAATGCTTTCTCTGCTTTGGAAGTGGAGATGGAAAAAATTCTCAAAAAAAAAAAATCAAACAAATATTTCCAAATGGTAGGTATCCAGATAGAGATAGAAGGCACTCTTGTTTGCATTTCTATTTAAGGGAATTAATGAATTCCTATTCCTTTGAGTAACATTTTTGGAAAGAACTAAACCTCTACTGCAGAGTTTTGTTTTCTTTTGAAATAATGGCAACTGAAATAAAGTTGAAAACTAGGATTTCTCTTTAATCCTTATAGAAGCTCTCATCCTAAATCCTCAATTTCTTCTTTGAACTCAAAAAGCAGTTTAGAAGAAGCATGGGCCACTCTCCAAGAAAAATTCCAAGAAATGCCAGCAAGCAAATAGTTTTTAACAATTAATACTTTGTGCATACTTTGCAATGCACACTGTACAATGCACAAAGTTCAATACTGGATTTTAGAAAAATACATTTTAATTAAACTAGCAGTTGAATATTTGTACCTGTTCTGCCAAGTCCTGCATGACAATGGATAGCTACTCGCCCTTCCTGTAAGGCAAAGGTCATCACTTTGACCATATCGAGGATGGTAGTGAGAGAAGCCACACCATAATCCTTCCATCCAAAGTTATAAAAATAAACTAGAAAAAAATATTTAGAACATTATAATTAGAAGACCAAACAGAACTCAGTGTATCCTAACTACAACACTGTTAAGATCTGTAGCAGAAGAGACTGAATGCTTTTCCTGCATTCTAGAATTCTTTTAAATAGAATTTCAAATGTTACACTCCAAAATCAGCAGGATGTTTCCTTTAGAAGCTGGATTATAAAACGTATAATGGAAGGGGAGTGCATTAGTCTCTCTGCGTGTATGTGTATGTGTATACATGCACACATAGATCATATATACAAATACACAGTCTGTATGCCTAAATTAATTATATCCTTTTCAAAATACTCAAACAACATAGCTATTTATTTGTAGAGTGTGGAAAACTCTTCTTATGAAAGCAGATGCTAATTAAGTGGGTATGCCTGTGTCTGTAAAACACACACACACACACACACACACACAATTAGTGCCTGTAAATATATGCCTGTTATCTTGTGAATGTGTGAAATGTTTTGCGAATATTTGCTATTACTGTTACAGATATCGGCAGATGTAGCTTTCAATATTCAGCTGTCAGTTCTAGGGATGCTTTTGTCATTTATGATAGCTCTCATCTTTGTTTCTACATTCTCATTAGTTGTATGTTATTGCATGTTACTTTTTTCAATAAGCATTCCTCAACTCACTGCTTTTAACCTCAGAAGTAGGTGGCAGAAACAGCCTGCAAGCAACACACTTTATAATTAACCAGCAACAGCAGCAGCAGGAGCAAACTTACTTCCCGCCTCCATGAAGGCTTCAGGAAGGTAGGTGAAACCACTCTCTTGTTCCAGTGGATTCCCACAGCTAGCATGTTCCCCAGGACGCTGAAGGTTAATTACAGTTTTTATGTCACATCTTAGGCAAAGAAAAAGATGATGCATTATTGAACTATGCATCCTTTCACAGTCTTTCCCACCCCCATTCCATGTTCTTTCTTACTTCAGAATAAATTGCTACAAATGATCTGAGCCAGTGGAGGGAGGGAAAAAGAGATGAGCATCCATGTCATAAGAACTTTAGTAATTTATTACCAATTTCTTTTACCTTTGGAACTGTTCAATAATATTATATTTCCCAATAAGATCTGTGGAGGGTCGAGACATAGCTAGTATATTATCTGTTATCCTGAGGAGATGAGGGAAGAAGACATGAAAAAGTAGGAGTTAAAATACTTTTCAGGCAGCTCTCATGTTTAATTGTTTCAGCAAATGAATCATAACATTTTACATACTGTGCTTTCAGACCATTAAATGCCTTTTATCTTTGTTTAATCAAATACTTACATAACAAAATGCTAATGGGATGCTAAGATATGGTGATTATTACAGAGATAACACAGCATTCACATCTAGTTTTTTATCCATGTATAAAACAATTATTTTTTTAGAGTGATCTTTAAAAAAAGTTTATAAAATGATCCCACACATAAATATCAATAAAAGCTTGACAGTGCTTTCATTATATTCGGTTGTTTTTTTTAATTCAACATTTCAGTTCGATTAAGTTATCAATATATTTGAAACTGAGTTACATTTAAGTCTGTAATAAAGATATCTATAATGAAAACTATGCTTTAGCTATACAAAATGGGTTGGATTAATTTGAATTTAGTTTCTGTTGACATCAGTGGAATGCATTTGGTATGACTTACACCTAAATGAAAACAACAGGCTTTTGTTTGAATCCAACCAACATTTTTAGCATATAAATGTTTCAAGCATAAATCTCATGGACACACAGATACTATGTATAAACTGTCCAGCATTTTTGAAACACTTCTCACCTAAATCTATATCAAATTGTTTTTCTTTCACTGAATGTGTAGTCTGATCCTAAGCATATTTATCCAGAAATTAGTTCAAAAGAGTTATGAAATGCTTCATAAGATATTTAAAAGTAACATTTTTAGAAGTGTAGCTGAAATGAAGGCTGTATACTACCAGGAGGAATATAGTCCTTTAACTGCCTGTTCTTGTTCACTCCATCGAGCTGGATTTTCATATTTGCAAGCACGGCCACCACATGCCATGGAACACTGCATATGGCCAGGAATAACATGACGAAGGCGTTCTCCAACTTTTGTATATTTTGCAGTTGGACGTCTAGATCTTCCTACAACATACAATGGCAAGACAAAATAAAACTTTCCAACAAAAATGAATTCTAAAAAATAAATATAAAAAGACAAAAATTAACAAGATCAAGAAAACATCTGCTAAGAAAAGACAACTTTTCTTTATGTCAGTACTGTATATGTAGTATTTCCTTAATAAAGGAAGGATCATCTCATTATCTAGAAACATTTAATAACAGCTGTTTTCTTTTTCACATTACAAACTCATAAAAACAATATGCTCAAAAATGCTTAAAAATAATACACTATTATTTTATCAATTAAGTGATGTGATCAACTCAAATGCTTAGTTATAAAAGAAGATCAGAATTAATGTAGACAATAAAAATGCCAATACTTTACTTTTTCTTTCATGGAAAGCAGCATTTAGCTCTTCAGGGCTTACAGAGGAAATGGCCACCATAACCCTGTGTGTAGAAGTCGAGAGGACCTCTACAACTGAGCTCCGTCGCCTTTGAAGTATTCGAAGAAGAGGATCAGAGGAAGAATGTCTCCGGCCCTGAAAAAAGTTGCTAAAAATATTCACTGCCAAGCGCCGCCTGGGTGATCCTTGCATGGTCACCCACTACTTGAAGCCGTTAAGATACGCTGTAAGGAATGAAGCTGAATGAGAAAGCTCACTTGCTCAGTACTGAACTTATACAGAGACATGCATCTTTCTGTAAGATCTAACAGCCATTCAGGATAGGCTGCTCTGTCTCCATAGAAACCAACAATGAACTCACTGGTGGCAGCTACGCCTTTTGCCAACTAAATTCTATATACATTGATTTTGTGCAGAACAAAGTGTTCTACTACCGAATCACTTAAAGCAGGTAATTCTGAAATAAACCAGGAATTCCAAAATTATTTCCTACAAACAGAAAAGATTCTTGGAATTTGAAGTACTGACTTTAACATCACAAGCAATAGCCAACTCTTCAGAAGACCTTTAGAACTTTGTATCCTTCAAATAATCTCAAGTTAATAAAGATATAAATATAGGCAACGAGCAACTTAGGTAGGATTGTAAAATGAAAAGCAGAAACATTTATAAATTAACAATCTTTTCTCCTCCCACAAAAATTGTGTCACATGCTCATTTTGTTAGCAAAGCAATTATCATACATTTGCTTTTAGCACTAGCATTAAGGAAAGAGTTTACAAAGACAGAGTAGAGTTTGAAAGACTATCCAGTCAATCGTTCACATGCATTTAATCAGCAGCAAGAAAAGGCAAGGTCCTTGTACACAAACAATATTTCTGCTGTCTTATGAGATCTGTAACAGAATGTATGGATGCTGGTTGATGGAGCAGAACCAAACTAAACAAAGTAGTCCTGTCAATATCTGGAAGCACTTATTACCAAAAAGGATTTCTAGCTGTTGTTTCTAGATTGTGTAGACCACCATGCAAAAAGATATACAACTAAATGCACTGTTTAAAATAGATCTACCATACCACTCTATGGAAGAACAGTCCTATGATTACACTTCAGTTTCTGTCTGTATTCTTTAAAAATTACTGCCATTGTTTTGAAGAAGCTGATGTTCTTAAGTATAATTCAATGGCAAGTATTACATTCTAGCCAAGTTTACAAATGTGAAACTATATCAGTTATTCCTAGAAATGTAGTAACATTGCCGACCAGTAATTAAATTTCTTCTTTAACACCTGATCCATAAGTTAAACAATACCCCAAGTAACGTGATCCTGTCAGCACATCAATGTGGAGGAAGTCCTTGTGAATTAGAATGGATATTCTGAAATCCAATCTTTACAAGATCATCCATATACAACATTTCAACATTTTTTAAATGACAAACCAGGTAAGTTTGGACTATCAGACTTTAGATTTGCCCCATCCAGCAAATACAATAGGCCTACTTAGTAAGCAGATATAATGCATTTAGGTACAAAGTATTAAGGGATGGAAAGTTCTAATTAACCTTTATAGGGAAGGATTTTAAAGGTTCAGAATCTTTGTGAAGTTAACTCACAAATACCTATGTTGAACAGGTATTATGGAAATGATATACTAGAATCATAGCATTATTCACAATTGTAATGGCAGAATTGGGCTAAACCCATAGGGTAAAAGTCTCAAAGCTCCCTTTGCAGAAGTTCTTGGAGTCTACACACCCTACTTCTGCCTCCTGACTTAGTGAAGTGGTTTGGTAGTTCTCACTGGCACTATCTATCTTCTTGGTGAGTGAATAGGTGCTTTTACCTGTCATCCTCCCCCCTAATCCTGCTGTGTAAGACACATAGGACTCACACAGCCTTTATGCCTCTATGCAAGTAAATGACAAAAATAAAATAAAAGGAAAAAAGGAAAATAAATTCTATAGCACTACCTCCTGGCCTTATGCATTGAAGCATATGGCAAAGGAAATTAGACTGATCAATCTCCCAAGGTATAAATAGAATCAAACTTTATTTCTTAAAAAAGTAAGAAGAAAATGTAAAAATCCCTTTTTGGGTTTCAGCAGCATGTGTAAAATATTCAGTGGCAAAAGAGATAAAAATATACTGTAGAGTTGTTCTAATTACAGACTGCAACTTAAAAGGACCTCCCATAGAAAAACTATAAAGTATAATTTAAGGTTCTGGGCAGACACAAGATGATTTTGGTATGCTCCTGATTTAGAGGGACTCTGATATGAAGAGGTTCCAAACTGTATAAAAACACACTTTACTGTGTACAGAAAGCATAAATAACAGAGACAATAAAGCTTAAAGAGCAACATAAATAGACAAATCCAAGATCATACAATGCTTAATTTTTCCCTATTCCTCTAAAAGATACACTAGCCTTGAATCAGATTGCCACTTCAGCATGACAGGCACCATTTGGAGTTTGTACATCAGACATCAAAATGTCCTGGATCAAGTATTAATATGTTAGTGTGATTTAAAATGAAGACATGTGTACTACAGCTAACTGCCAAGAAGAGGATAAGCCTCCATGAATAACCAGTTCACACAAAAAGCTGCAGAACTTATTACCTTTGTATGAATGCAAATTATTAAGAATATTGGGATAAGGACCAAACAGCATAAGCTAATATTTCCTAGGTACAACATCATAAATCTTGTAGCACTTTAGAGTCTATGACAACACCATGCTAATTTGGCAGTTTTTATAATACCATATGACTTTGTTATTAATATCACTTAAAAATTCACCATATTCACTCCCATTGTATTCATCTGATGTCTTACCAATGATTTGGTTTCATTTAGTATTTGTAATGAACACAATATGACTTGGGACTAGTGAAAATATGATATTCATATTGTGCACCAAACCTATTAATTTAATCCATAACCAAAATTAAAGGGTGTTATATTCATGCATATAACAACATTCCACAACATTGCCATGTGGGAGTCAGGTAATAATTTTAATGAGATGGCAATTACTGGTCAGTTTCTGCAAAGAATATGAAGCGATAAACCTAAACAGGCAGAATAATTTATTAACGTTTATGAGACAAGTTGCATTCAGATGTAATTTTCCAGAATGTGTTCACGCATTACATTCTTTCTTCGCATAATTAAGAACACTTGATTTAATTAAGACTCAAATTGTTATTATGTTTAGACTAGCAAACAAACAAACAAACTGTGCTTTAAATGAATTTCAAAATCATGATTGTTTTGTTAAACTAAGCTTGAGACATGAGGACATACACAAGCATAGAGCTTATCCTTAGTCCTCCAAATTATTTTTTTAGTTGTCATTGGAAATCTGTATGAACACAAAGACGGAGATTATATTGCTTTTAAAAATCTTCATTGATCTTAAAATCTTCCGCCAAAATTATGAATCCGAACTGCAAATTGTAACAATGAATATTTGTTCTCCTCTCCTGTCAGTATTATCCTATTAATACACAGAATTCTTATTTCATTATTACTTCTGGTGCAGTTGCCCATTTTCCAACCTAATGTCAAGTTTGAAAGTATACGAAGCAATAAACCTAAGGAATAACTTAAGCTAAATAGCAAAGATATTTATTGAGGGAAACTGTGATATTATCTCATTGCTTAATTTTTTTTGTTAAAGATCTATTTCCACAGTAAAATGATGCTTAAGTATCCAGTTAAGAAACATTTGCTTTTGCAATAAGTGAAGTAAAATTTTGCTTTCTCGTGTACCACTCAAATATCTCTAACACTAACAGAGTATTAGTATCTCTAATACTCAGAAAACAGTTATCCTGATGAAGTAAGTTGGACAGAACATAATGCAGTCAGGAGGTAATATCAGCAGAAGTGAGAGAGATACACAGGAGATATTTACCAAACAGCTGATTGGCGTGCAAGCTATTCCTTTGTGGCCCACAATTATTTTTAATTTATCAATGTGGCCCTTTCCCCTCTGTAAGTTGTGCAGGTCTGCTCTATATGGTATCAATATGAACAAAAACGTTCAAATTGGGTAAGGGAGTTGCAGAGTTATGGCCATTCCCTACTCCATTCCCATTGTCAAGGTTGGACCATCTAGAAGAGTTGTGGTCCTTCAGCAGTTCTGTGTTTTACCCAATGAAGGAAGGGATGAGGGGGCTAAACCAACTCCATGTAGGACAAAATAGCGAGACCTGGCTCCTTGCTTTGTCCTACACAGATGGTTTCATCCATGCAGGAGAAAGCAGAGAGTCAGTACTCCTGGCTTCATTCTGCATGAATGCTGGCAGCCTATGTATGATGAAACAGTCAGTCCTGGCTTCCTACTTTATCTTGCATGGAATATTTTTCTCCGGGAAGAGGAAGAGTGGGAATTATGATTTGCCATTCCTTCCTGCACAGAAAACTGAATTATGAGGGTAAAGAAGGATTGATCTTCCTCCCTTTCTCATTTTCCTTTCCCCAGCATCATCTATCCTATCCTAGATACAATTTCTCAATCTGCTTTAATGCCATTCAACAATTTCACAATTCCAATACAATGACAGCTAGCATGCCTTTCCTGCAAGACAAATCCTTCCATATTTCAAGATAAATTTGCACTGGAGTTGTATTACATAAGCAGTTACATGGTCTAGAAATAATGCTTCCACTATAGACCTATCACTTAATTCCATTACCTTCTTCTCCTGAATCCTTGAACAACAGGTGAAAGGTTGTGGCAAATTTTGCAAGAACCTGGGCTAGTAGTGACAAGTTATTCATAAAATCTGTTGGTGTTTTTGATTTGGTTCTGGTCACTGTACCTGGATTCTATTTCAACTTATGGAACCATAAAATCAACTTGAAACAGCCTGCTTCAGCTCTGCATTCAGAGTTTAGGTGAATCCAGTACCCCATCCCTATTATTATTCACTACTAGTCCTATCTGCCAAACTTCATGTACTAAAAAAGTAATTACCTGTATTCATGGTTGTGCTGCTGGTTATCAGAGAACAATAAGGTGCCTCATTTTGCAGTAAGACTCCAGCAGCCATTGCAGTACCTGTTGGAACAGAATTTTAACAATAAGCATGTGCATGTATTTGTGTGTACGTATTTGTGTGTCAGCCCTACAAGGTAGACCAGACTATGTAACCAATACCATACAGTCAGGACAGCTACAGTAACAGAATCTTGCAAGCATGAATGTGCTTCCCCCCTTTATCTTCATCTGAGGGGCTTGTTTGAGACGTTTTCTCAAGTTACTTTCTCGGCCTGGGCTCAAGCCTCACTTATCTGAATGCTGCTTTTGTAGCAGCTCTTTCTCCTGTCCTTCAAGGCCATTCCCTATGCCCTCTACAATGTGTGTGTACACATACATACATACACACACATAGGCACCAATCTACGCAGGTCAGATTCAATTTATTTGAGCAGTTTGTAAACATTTTAATCAACCACTGACACGTCTTTTCCTTACAGCTTAGTTCATAAAAATGTTACCACCTTACCAATCTTACTAAACAGTGTGAAAGCTTTGATTGACCAATGGGATATAAGAGGAATAAATGGTAAAAAGCAAGAATTAACAAATGAAATGAAATGAACATAGATATGCTGTATGTCTGTAGAATAAAGAGAAAGAGAAAGGAAGTAATAGATCCAAATGAAGGAAGTCTCATCTACTCAGCTGGTGAGTAGACCGGTCTTTGGAATCTCTCCGGACAAGGACAGGACGGAAGAGCAGCCACATGTGCTCTGGATGGCTGCTCCTCATGAGGAGACTGCAGGCCAGCGGTCTCCAATGGGTTTCAGCACTAGGAATAGCCATCTGGCTCGCAACGGTGGTCGCCACCTTTTAAAGGACACTGATTTTCCTAACTTTACTTACTAATCACTTTTGAAAACTGTTCATTCACTACAGATAATCCTTGAGCTATGACAGCAATTGGGACCAGAATTTCTGTCACTAAGCGATGTGGTTGTAAAACACGATGTCATGTGACTGCATTGCTTAGCAACAGCAATCCCTGCAGTCTCTGTTGCCATTGTTAAGTGAGTACCTCCTTGTAACTTCCTGCCAGCTTCCAACAACCAAAAGCAGTAAGGAAGCCAGCAGGAAGCTGCAAGTCCCAGGCAGCTTGCAAGCAGGCCAGCAGGCAGGTAAGTGGCTACTGCTGGGTGGGAGTGGGTGCGCAAGTGGTGGGGGATGCACGGCATGAGTGTGGGAGGGCTTGGGATGGCTGCTGCCAGGTGGGAGAGACTTACCTGAGCAACTTGCAACCTTCCCTGCCAGCTTCCCTATTGATTTTACTTGTGGGAAACCAGGGAAGGTCACAAATTGTGATCACATGACCATGGGATGCTGCAACCATCGTAAGTGCAAGCCAGTTGCCAAGCATCCAATTTGTGATCACATGACCGTGGGGGTGCTGGGACAGCCGAACTTCAAGGACTGGTCATAAGCACCACTCATTCAGTGCCATCATAACTTCGACTGGTTGCTGAACGAGTGATCATTAACCAAGGACTACCTGTACTTCTAAGCTATTAGAGACCTTCGGAATGACAAGTTTGAAAATGCCACGTAAGTTTGCCTTCAGTCCTGAACAAAAGAAAGTTTTAATCATAAACTTAAGAATTTAAAGAATCTGAAATAAACAGCAAAAAGCTAAATAAGATTTTGATCTTAGA